TTGAAAATTATGCAAATATATTTCGAAAATCATGGTTTAGTTTTGGAATGTGAACCCACAATTTTTTCACAATATCTTGTCCAGTGATTAAACTCATTTTCAGCTCCATGGACATATCAATAAGCAAAATTCTCGCACTTGGACTGAATAGAATACGGGTTCAGTTTGTCTGACTTAATTTAGTTAACGCAACTCAATTTAGTATTTTGGCCAACCTGTTTTATCGGAAACTGTGCTGGCGGTTAGTCAAAATTTAACTTACCGTAAGAAACTAAAGAACCTGTATATTTACGTTTTTGCGGAATTTGAGAGCGGTTAGAGAAGGGAGGCCTGCTAGATTAACGTTTTTATACCCGAGCGCACTTGTGCACAAGGGTATTATAACTTTGTTCACATAACGGTTGTTTGTAACAGGCAAAACGAATCGAGATAGATATAGACAAATGTATACATAAATGATCAGAATGAAAAGAGAAATCGATTAAGCGGTGACTGTCTGTCCGTCCGTCCGTCCGTCCGTCTGTGCACACGATAACTCGAGTAAAAATTGTGATATCTTAACGAAACTTGGTACGTGAACTTCTTTTGGGCGTAGGACGGACGGTATTGAAAATGGGCGAAATCGGACAATAACCACGCCTACCTCCCATATAACGGTAATTTTCAGAAAAACGAAAACTGCGATATTTTAGTAACTACTGAAGATAATTCACTCAAAATTGATATTTGCAATGAGTTTTAGACGAAAAATAAGAATATTACAAAATTTTGGCAAATGGGCGTAGCCACGCCCACTTATGGTTACATGTGTATATCTTGGTAACCGCTACACCAATTTCTTCCAAACTTGGCACAGTTGTTGGTCCTGGTACAGCATACCAACTGGCCGAAAATTTCTAAAATCGGACAATAACCACGCCCACATCCCATATAACGGTAATTTCGAGAAATACAAAATCTTCGATAAATCAGTAAATATTGAAGCTAATTTATTCAAAATTGATGATTGCAACAATTCTTTACCAAGAAATACGTTTATGACAAAATTTTGGAAAATGGGCGTAGCACCGCCCACTTGTGATCACATATATGTATCTCGCTAACCGTTCTAGCAATTTGTACCAAGCTCGGTATGGTTATTGTGCTTGCCACATAAAAGCAAACCGTTGAAAATTGTTGAAATCGGACTAAAATTGAGGCCGCTTTTCATATAACGGTAAATTTCAGAAATGCTTGAAATTTCAATATTTCGAAATTTAAGGACGCTAATTTACTTAAAATGTATACACCCCGGCTTATCATGTAGCGGTAGCTTTCGGAAAGGTGGAAAACATATATTTAATACTTGCGCCGGGTATTTAATGTTCGGCTCCGCCCGAACTTAGACTTTCTTACTTGTTTTTTTTGTATTTCTTAAAAATAAATGAAAGCAGGCAAAAAATGCGGTGATATGACCAAGGCGAATTTATACAAGATGGTGCTACCGGCGAATCTAGATTTTCGCTGCGGTTGTACTGATTGTCAAAATGATATGTTTTATTGTAAATTTGTTTTGTTCTGATTGCCATTGTGCGTATAGTTTGTTAGTGTATTTTTTTGTTCCTGGGCTGTTGCTACCACCTTATATGAATTCACCTTGGATATACAATCAGCTGAAAAATAATATATGTATAGGAACAAAATATTTTCGCTTCTGGCTTAAGTTGACGTTTTAAGTAATCATTGACGATTTCTTGCCGTAAGTTAAGTCTAGACTAACAGAGCTTTTCGCGGGACATTTGCGCTAAATCCACAAAAACTCAAGGGTTTGGTGCGCTTTATGGGCCGGTGGAATCGTTGTGAATGGCGAGAACATTACTGTCAACATCGAACAATTGAATAGAGCGCTTACTGCAGACATGTTTTTCCTAGAGGGCATACGGCGCTTGTTTGATTTATCAAAGAAAACATTTGATGAACGTGTTATTTTTCACGAAATAGAACAGCCGATCGGCGATTTCCCGACTCCAGATTGCGCATAAAATTAAACATCAAATACATATTTAAGAGCCTATGCATCGAAAAATATGCCACCAAAGGTATAAAATTCAAAGGAAGGTATCTCCGGTGTAAGAAAATAAATCAGAATGAATGAGAAAATAATTTCCACGGAAATAGTTTCATACCGTCCCCTTTGTGCCTGAAACATGAATGTGTAGAAATGAAAATGTTGGGAAACCAAGTTTGAAGTTTTTTTATCTAGCGAAATTTTCGAGAATCACTTGAAATGGCCTTACTCATTAAAAACGAATTGTTAAAAAATAAATTGGGTTAAAAAATCAGTACATCAATTGCAAAATTAAAAATTTATTTGCTTGAAGATATTGTATGTAACTCAAATCTTAACAAATGTTTTTTTATTAACATAATTATTACATAACTGCTAAATGAGGTACATATATCTATATGTATGTATGTACTTTAATAAATATAAAAACGTGCCATCATTAATTACCGTTGACAACAGCTGGCCTAATATCTGCTTAAGCCTACATACATATGTACGTATATGTATATGTTCATATCTCTAAATTCATATGCACATTAACCGTTTCGAAATGCACAGCTGTGCAGCATGATTTAAACCGTTTATGCAAATTTTATGCAATAACGTGTTAAAAAAAAATAACACAAAAGCATTAATATGGACATTAGCAGTAGCGGAACCCTGCAGGAAATTCACCACGTATGCAATTTATAATTGCTCTTCGCTTTTAAAATCGACAAATGAGTTGTGGACCGCAAAGTGCTAGCAACAGGCTGTAGATCCGTACTTGGAAGTTTTCATTTCCTTATCTAAAGTTTAATATGATGTAAGATTGCTCATTGTACTTTCCTACTGGCATATTGTTTACTGCATTGCGAACAACAAAACAGTAATGCACGTACACACTGACATGCCTAACATAATAATTGCACTATAAATATTTACAATTACATACTACAATACTCGTAGACATAGGAATTTGCTTGCAGCACAATATTTATTCAGCATTTGCGGCTCAACGCCACGTTGCTCTGAATTTGTATTAAAACTCAGGTCGGGTTTTTCTTCATTGTTCATTGCACTAACTAAATATTGGCACATCTTCAAGTGTTGACCGCATTTTCGGCGCTGAAAAATTCAAAATGCGTATGAAGCATCGAATAAATTTTCACAGCAACACTTTCACTTGTGGGCAGAGAGAAAAAAAAAATAAATAAAATAAGAAATTATTGTCTGTGCGTATGCAAAATGTATGCAAGTGTGCAAGAGCGTTGGTAAAAAAAAAAATTTATTTTTTTTCTTGCTTTTAGTTTTTACACAATAACTGGCTACTCAACTGTACTTGTTATTTAAAAAACAATTGCCGTAATTACATAACAACCGAATTTTATGTATTTGATTGTTTTTTTTCTAAATTGTTTATTATGTAGCCAGCCAACGTTTTCATTAGGGCGCAAACGAATTTGTAGTCGATCCTCGAATTTCCTACGCAACTTATCAACTCTAGGAGCATTTCTTTTCGCTTAT